TTTTTTTTTTTTTTTTTGATCCCGAAAAATTTAATTTCACTTTTTCTTTTTTTTTTATCATCGTAAAGAGCGATCGGTATTTTTATAGACAAAATCAGAATCTTGATGATCTGTGTTCTTAGTTTTTTTTTTGTTTCCTTCCACGTTAACGTTCTTTACTTAAGAACGCTATAGTTGTTAAAAGGCCAGTAATGGTGTAGGATCTATTTTCCGAGCTTGTGGTAATGGGTTAGAACGTTCGCTTTAAAAGATAGTTGAGTATCGGATAGGCCTGGGAACTTGTGTTTTAATATGAGTAGAGATACGCTCTGACTACTGACTTCAATTTTGGTGAGATCCATGAAAACAGAAGTACCCCAGGTAGCTACCTCGTGTTGAACGGAATTCATTTTATAAAAGCAGTGTCTAGTTTACCTGAGTGGAGTTGAAAAGTGTGAAAATGTAGGCGACCGCTTTGTGCAAGGGTAACAGAAGACCAAATAGCCACGTAATTCCCAGCAAAGGAAACATTACCAGGCATGCCCTGACACCAAGCCTGTGAAATCATGGAAGAAAAAAAGAAGAAGAAGATTGGTAGCTCTTATTTTTGTTCTAAGTAGGCATTACTCTTACAAGGAAGCAAAAGACAAAGGCGAATGGCTTAGCGTGATTAATCTTCCTCTGCCTCCTCGGAAATACTCACCTTATTTGTTCGCTGTGTTTGTCATTCGCATGCTGCATGATTGTCATTTCCTTGATAACTCGCCCCAGTAGCATCGCGTTTAACTGAAAAAAAATATATATATATACACTTATCAAACAAAATAAAAAACAACACGATTTCGAGGTAGAGCAAAGTTTGCACTTGAGCTAAGTAGTCCAAGTGGCCTAAGTAGATGGACGTCAAAAGTTTGACACTTCCCCCTCCTTAGCATTCCACTAAGTTTCTCAGGTTTACCTGAAACTTCGTTTGTACGCATTTATATACCTCGGTGGAGGGGAAGAAAAACATTGTATACGCAAAATGTCTCGCCTAACAACGCAAAAAAGTCAACCGATACAGTTTCGAACCAGGAATTCTTAACCTGCCGTCCAGCGCGATAATTGTTTACTGCATCCTCCAAGAATGAGGTCTCCGAAAGAAAATATATACTTTATATTTCGCGGAATACAACTGAACATAGTGAATGAGGCTAGAGGTAAGTGGTAAGAAAGAAAAAATGATCACGATACTAACGATAACTGAAGACAAGATATGAAAGCGAAACAAACCTTTAGAATTCAACTTACCAACTCAATCAGCACAACGAAAACAACAAATATCCATATCATCCCGTTAGCAGATGAAATCCAGCAGCTGAAGTAAATTAGGTATCGGAAACTTTCATAAATTACCAATCAATGGTTTTATTTGCGTACNATAAGAGCGCCTTTTCGTCAGTCTTGAAAATGAATGCAAGAAATAGAGATTTAATAATGATAACAGAAAAAGGTTACATACCTTACACCCGGTTTAACACCGACGCGGGAAAAAGCGCCACGCCGATACATGATGCTTTCTGAAATCAATGCATGTATATTCCGTAATATCCCTACCTTGGTTAAACTGTTACCGCTTGTTCCACCGTCAAACTGCATAAGAACTGCGAAGTGAGTCCGATGATTGCAGCTGCACTCGGTGTAAGTTTCGTTCCTAGATTTTAGGAGACATCCTTGCGCTGACCATCTAGAGGGCATGTAGAAAGCACTTAGAAAAACGGTCCTAAAATTCTCCCCCTCCACCTCCCCCTCCCCAAAAGAAAAAAAAAACTAGAACAAAACAAAACAAAGCAAACGAACTGACAGCTCTATCGACCACCTCTTATATGGAAGCCTAGGAAAGAGGAGAAGGAGTAAGAGGTGAGCACACTATATGATGCGCCACTGACAAAAGCCTTACATGTATGAAAGAAAAGTCCTGGAGAAATTTGATAATTGGAGTAAACGATGTCATTAACTAATTCAAAGTTACTTACCTGTTGTCGAAAGTATCCCAAAACATGCAGCTTCTGTCCAAAGTTGCAGGCTGAAACCGTGAAATTACCATTAGTTTTAAGTAATTCAGCGTCTTGCAGGCTATTATATATGGAGGTGAGGGTGCTCTCGCTGCAATTTTTCAGACTCCTTCCCCATTTGTGATACATTTGAAGAGTTTCTTCCCAATATTTATAGTCTAGTTTGTCTCTCTTTGAGAAGCGCCCTTAAAAATAAAGAAGGCCTTTAAGTCATAAAAAAATCTGATGCTAAGAACTTATTATAAAATAAAGTCCACAATAACAGTAACAGCAAAAACGACAACAGAAGTCAACCAAAAACAAGACTAAAAAGCGCAAACAGTAGTACATATAAATACAAACAACGAACGAAAATGCAGACAGAGACAAGGATGGTACAGGAGAGATGCGTTAAGAGAGATTATTGGCAAGGTTTACTCATATTATCCAAATATACCAACGCTGCTTAAACTCTTTTAAATAGTTGTAAGCATTGATGCAACTCTCTCTTGATTAATTACTGCTTACCTTCAGGTTTTTAAATCTCAACGTGATATTCTTCCTGAGTTTGGTGTTACTTGGCCATATCGTTGCAGACAAGATGAATGTGTTGATGCTCCTAACCGTGATTCCCAATAATTTTGTAAAATGCTTAGATAAAAATCTATTGTATGCACTTATTTAATCGAAAGTCTTGACCACTCTGTCGAAATTTGTTCTTTATGATCCAAAGTCGACAAAGCGGAATTCTTAGTGTGCCTTTTTTTAATATGCATTCATTTATTTTTCTATGTATATCGCTCAGATGTCAAAAGTCACCCGAAAGACCAACTAATAACAAGAAAAACAAAGCAAGACAAATAAAAGTAGAAGCAAAGAAAAAAAAAAAAAAGAAAAAAGGTTATTAAAGACAAAAAAGAAAATTGATAGAAAGTTATTTAAAGAAAATCAAAACAAAAGCGAAGCAGAAATTCAAACTGGGATCGAGGACATTGCTCTAAACTTGCCTCGT